AGGTAACATTATCAGTGCTAGAGAAGTTTTCTTTTTCTATATGAGTTCCAGCGTCATTGAAGCTTCCAAGATGCAGTTTAGAGAGGAAAGAATTTAGTTTCATCTCCAGGTTTTCATGAATCCACTAAATTCTGACTTGGGTCTAAATAGGCAAATCACAACACCCTTCTTTTCCTTAAAAGCATCTCTACATCACTCCTCAATTTATGCTTTATCCACCCAGGCTATTCAGCACTCACCTGATCTTTGACCTCAGTCACCGCACCTTTGGCTCGCCAGTCCACCCCAGTGGGAATCTGCGGGTTTTTTGAGGATTTGAACACGACTACGTTCTTTAGAGTAGCAAGATCCATGTCAGGAAGCAAGCAATCCAGCCTCTCGTTAATCTCTTCATTAGTCTGAGGATTGCAAAGAGTATCAAATTCAAACATCAGTTACCGGAGCCAGTTTGGTCTTGTAGTTTAGGCGCCAGGCTAGAAGCAAGAAAACTTGTGAGTTCTAGTCGCATCTTAGGTATGAAAGCTAGCTGTGTGACTTTGGGCCAATCACCAGGAGTCTGTGAGTTCTAGTCCCGCCTTAGGCATGAAAACTGGCTGGCTGACTTTGAGCCAATCACCAGGAGAAGGTGAGTTGTAGTCCCACCTTAGGTATGAAAGCTGGCTGGCTGACTTTGGGACAATCACGAGGTGAGTTCTAGTCCTGCCTTAGACACGAAAGTTGGCTGGGTGACTTTGTCCCTTTCTCTCTCTCTCAGCACAATCCACCTCACAGGATTGTTGTCGGGAAAATAGGAGGAGGAAGGTATCTTGGAAACTGCCTTGAATTATTTGTAAACAAAAACCAAAAAAAATGAGGAAGGCAGGATATAAATTAATTGAATTAAATGAACTAAAAACTGCTCCGGTTCATTGACTGAGATGGGCACCTATAGAAACTGAACGTACAAACATCTCTGCCTAGTAAATAAATAAAAACTAGCCTTGATCCAGACTTACCAAATCACCAAAATGATTCATCCCAAGCTTGTAGGTGTGTTTTCCCCGGTCAGCCTGGCTGTTATGGTCTTGGATCATTTGCAAATTCTCCTCCCACACGGCTCTTCGAAAAGATTCTTCGTCCTGCTGGGAAGCCAAACCAGGAAAACCTCTTAGTCCCACCTGCCTAAAAAAGTGGCCCTTGAAAGGCTACAACGAGTGCCCTTTTCTTCCATAAAATGGTTGCCAGGCTAGAATTTAATCGTCCAGGAGTGGACCAAAAAAACTCTTTCCATTTCCAGTTAATATACAGCACAGTATTCCTCACCAAACCCTCTGAAGACAGATAGTGGAAAATAACATTGCCAGAAGAAGACCAGGGGGAGACATGATAGCAGTCTTCCAATATTTGAGGGGCTGCCACAGAGAATAACAGAAGAACAGAGTTGGAAGGGACCTTGGAGGTCTTCTAGTCCAACCCCCTGCTCCAGCAGAAGACCCTCTGCCATCCTGGTCCAATGATTGTCCGATCCTTTCTCTTTTTTTTGTAAAAAAAATAAATTGTTATTTTTATATTTCAAAAGCATCTCTTTGGGTGAACAGCGTGATTCCAGGTTTTTACGTTTCCATACAAACCTTAGTTACATATTCATCTTTCCCACTCAATTTCGTATCGTATCATTTACATTTCATATTTTTCTGTAAATTTCCTCAAATATTCTTATATTCTTCACATTCATTTGATATATTTTCTATTCATATCTTAACTTATTTCTTTTTTATTTAAGTAATTCTCCTGTCTTCATATTCATTATACTTTTATCTGTCATATTTACAATTTCATCGCACTTTTATTTCATTATTTAAAAAGTTTCTGTCTTAATTCTGATAATTCAAAAAATTCCCCCTTTAATTGCTAACTAATTTGAGTGTACCACCCCTTTACCTTATACATCATATAATTAACTCCTATTTGATTCATAACAATGATTTATCATAATATAGTCACTTTTTAGTTATCGCTTTATAAGTTGTCCAATCCTTTCTTGAGAATCTCCAGTGATGAAGCAGCCACAACTTCTGGAATCAAACCCTTCCACTGGTTCATTGATCTGGGAATTACTGAATAGCAGGGTTATTAGGGACCTTGGAGGTCATCTAGTCCAACCCCCTGCTTGAGCAGACCTTATCCCCAATTCCGAGTGATTTGCAAGGATGCCACGTGCCAGACAGGAGGGGGGGTGGTCACACTATTTTCCAAAGCACCTGAAGACAGGACAAGAAACAACGGATGGAAACTAACCAAGGAGAGAAGCAACCTAGAACTAAAGAGAAACTATCTAACAATGAGGAGAATTAACCAGTGCAACGGTTTACTTCCAGAAATTGTGGGTGCTCCATCACTGGAGGTTTTCAAGAAGAGATTAGATAGCCATTTGTCTGGAATGGAATACTTGAGCAGGGGGGGTGGACTAGACGATCTCTAAGGTTTCCTCCAACTCTGTTATTTTGTTATTCTATTAAAACATTATGGAGTGGTATATGTCTAAATGCTATTGCTATTATGAGTGCAGAGAAGAGCAACCAGGATGATGAGGGGACTGGAGGCTAAAACATATGATGAACAGTTGCAGGAACCGGGCCTGGCTAGTCTAGGGAAGAGAAGGATCAGGGGAGACAGGATAGCAATATTCCAGTATTTGAAGGGTAACCACAAAGAAGAGGGGTGGGTGTGTCAATTTATTTTCTAAAGTACCAGAAGTCAAGACAAGAAACAACAGATGGAAACGGATCAAGGAGAGGAGCAACTTGGAATGAAGGCAAAACTTTCTAACAGTGAGGACAATTAACCAGTGGGACTGCTTTGCCTTCAGAAATTGTAGGTGCTTCATCACTGGAGGTTTTTAAGAAGAGACTGGACAGCCACTTGTCTGGAATGGTATGGAGTCTCCTGCTTGAGCAGGGGGTTGGACTAGAAGACCTCCAAGGTCCCTTCCCACTCTATTCAGCTTGATTCTTTTGACTTCTAGTGGAGCAAACTCACCAAGGCGTATTCTTTATTGTGAGTGGCCTTCCAGACTTGCCATGTTCCCTCCAGGGTCGGATCCAGAGCTGTGGACAAGGTTTGCAAGAAGACCAACCAGGCCAGGGCCACCACCGAGATGGACAACATTGTCTCTTTCTAGAAGAAGAAAAAGAATCGAAGAACTCAGAGAACAGGATCAACGGGGCAGGCATGCTAAAATTGGCAAGCCAGCAAGATTATTTCAACGAGAAATAAAAGTATTTCAGGAGCAGAGTCTTCCCCTCCTCAGAATACCTTATGCCACACCAGGCTTGAAATTTGGGGACCTAGACAACTTAGAACTACGCCGCCTAGGGTCTGACCTAAGCTTAGTACACAAAATTGTCCGCTACAACGTTCTACCTGTCAACAACTACCGTACTTCAGCTTCAACCACAATAATACACAATGGGCAAACAAATAGATACAAACTCAAGGTAAACCGCTCCAAACTGGATTGCAGAAAATACGACTTCAGCAACAGAGTGGGTCAATGCTTGCAACTCACTATCTGACTCGGTTGTTACATCCTCAAACCCCCAAAACGTTAACCTTAAACTGTCTACCATGGGCCTCGCTCCATTCCTAAAAGGTCTGTAACGGGCCATGCGTAAGTGCACCAGTATGCCTACCATCCCTGTCCTACTGTTCCCATTTATCCGTACTCATTCATTATGTATCTACTTAGACCCATTTATACTTATATGTTTATATGTTATGTTCATACTTATACTTGTTTTCTCATACACGCTTGACAAACTAAACTAAAAAATAAATTACCGGTGGGCTACTGATTCCTCCATCCCTGATACTGAATAATAAAACAATTCTATATAAATTGCATAGTATATACTGTAGACCTGTATACTGCCAGAGTCAAAAAGAGGGCTGTGAAAATATCTACAGACCCCTCACATCCTGGACATAAACGGTTTCAACTCCTTCCCTCAAAACGAGGCTATAGAGCCCTGAACACCAGAACAACTAGACACAACGACCATTTTTCCCCCCGAGCCATCACTCTGCTAAACAAATAATTCCCTCAACACTGTCCAACTATTCACAAAGTCTGCACTACTATTACTATTAACCTTCTCATCACTCCTTATCACCCATCCCCTCCCACTTGTGAGTGTATGACTGTAACTTTGTCACTTGTATCCTTACGATTTATATTGACTGTTTCCTAATATGATTTGATTGCTTATTTGTACCCTATGACAATTATTAATGATTCTTGACTTGATGAATGTATTTTTTCTTTTATGTACACTGAGAGCATTTGCACCGAAGACAAATTCCTTGTGTGTCCAATCACACTTGGCCAATAAAGAATTCTTTTCCATTCTATTCCATTCTTTTACATTCTATTCCACTATACTGTATTCCTGTTCTATTGTATTTCTGTTCCATTCTATTCTATTTTCTATTCTATTTTCCATTCTATTCCTATTCCTAATTCCATTCCATTCCATTCCATTCCATTCCATTCCATTCTATTCTATTCTATTCTATTCTATTCTATTCTATTCTATTCTAT